ATTCGACATGGAAAGGTCCGCCTCCGTGCAAAAACTTTTTACTCAAACAGAAAGTGTATTGAAGAATCGCCCAGTATCATGATGCTGATGATAATGTCTTAGCTTCAATTCGTGCCTGTCCCGAAATCGGTTTGCGTGAAGATGTCTCGTTCATCATAAAATTAAACTTATAAACCAGAGTTCTTGCACATATTGAAAGAAGTTGATGATTATAAATGATTAGATTATTGAAAGAAAAGAAAAATTTTGGTCCCTACGAATAGTATCTGCTCGAAATTGCAGATAATGGTCTACTGAAAATTCCCACTTGGTTATAAACTGTAAGGACCAATTCTTTCAAAAAGTTAATCATTGAAAATCTGCCCCTCAATGTACGACAAGAGATGTACTTTCCAGCTAGACGAAGCTTCCATTCATAATTCTTGGATGGTTCGAGGGTGGATAAACGAACATTTTCAATTACGTTTGATATGCAGAAATAGCCTAATGAACAATGACCTCCTTGCTCTTCTGATGTAACTGCAATAGAGAACTTCTGGAAAACTGTCAAAGATAGGATTTACGAGTCTAGGACACCAAATCAACATGAACTTTGTGGGAGAATACGGCAAGCCAGCCGTGAAATAAGTATTCCAGAACTTAGGAGAGTGGCCAATAATAATAGAAAAAGAATGAAAAATGTATCAGAATCGGAAGCAGGCCATTGTGAGAGACAATATTTGGAATTGACGATGACGATGATGATGACTGCAGGACTGGTCACTAGTCACAAACGAATAATATTTCCGAAAGGTACAAGAATATCTTGGAGAAATAACATCTTGTTTTGATAATTTGTTAGACAAGAGCATATACTATCTGAAAAAGCCCTGATAATGACCTGTGAGGCTAATTCGCCCTGTTCCAAGAATTCAGGAATTACAACCGATCACCTGATACGACCTCTAAAGCGTTCGACTGCGTCTCTCATGACATATTATTGGAGAAACTATATTATCATGGCATCAGAGGTGTATCTCTATCCCTCATTAAATCATATTTGTCGAATAGATACCAAGCAGTCAGTATCAAAAATTGCATTTCGAATTTTAAACTTGTTGGAGATGATGTTCACCAAGGATTAGTATTGGAACCACTTCTGTTCATAACTTACGTGAACGACATAAGTAACTTACACCACATTTATTCACTCTGACAAAAATGCGATTGAACTGTCTGGAATATCAAATGAAATCGATAAGAAGGCAGAAAGTTGGTTCGTGACAAATCCACTCAAACTGAATACAGATAAAACGTAACAGTTACAGTTTTCAGCAAGCTTTGCCGATTCATCAAGTGCAGACAACGTTGATTTACGTGGGTTAATTTTCGATAGTACTCTCACTTGGACCTGTCATATCAATCAATTGAGCAAAAAACTATCTAGAACACTTCCTTTATTGCGTCAGTTGAAAAATATAAGTGGTTTCGATAAATTGAAAATAACATATTTCTTTCTCTTCCATTCCCACATTACCTATAGTATTATATTCTGGGGTAACTCAACTGGGACTTTAACAATTTTCAAATTGCAGAAAAAAGCTCTCAGAATAATAACTAACTTCGATTATAGAGATCATTGTCAAAATCTATTTTTGAAATTGAGAATAATGCCGTTACCCACATTATTAACTAAACACATCATTAACTAAACAATCAGACATTCATGACTATGATACGAGATATTGTAACTAAATGCGAACAAACCATTTGAGTAAATCACGAAAAAACACTCTGGACTTCAACCTCTACAACTATCTTTCCGATACTTGTGATGTACTGTTTGGAACCTTTGGTGTAGTAATGAATATTACTGGAGTTTTTTCCCAACACCAAATCGTTATTTTTACACCTCGACAGTGTTTCGATCACCAAGTGATCATCTTCAAGAGGAAGATAATATGCTTTCAAAATCTCACTTACCGTGTCTATTGCAATATTTTCCTAATTCAAAATTATTAGCTTCTCTCCCACAGGAAAAAGGTGGAGCGGCAGATTTTTCTCCTAATTCGAAGGCAAATATTTGTCCGTTATACGAGATTTGAGAGTATTGTGCTCAACATTATATGCCTTTTATCAGCAAGGATAGAAAAACACTACGTTTCATATATTTTCGTTATATTTGTAGTTGATTTTCAATTCTCAGGAAGCCTTCGAAAACATAAAGAATGTTTTACTATCGGATACATTTTTAGTAATATTCGATCCAACTTGTGAATCCATATTATCTGTTGATAGTAGTGAATATGGTTTAGGGGCTGTGTTGTCTCAAAAATGTAAGGATGGTATAGTGAGACCCGTTTGTTTTGTCTCTCGTACACTAACAGAATCTGAAAAACGATACTCACAGTTGGACAAAGAAGCTTTGGCAATAGTGTTTGGAGTTAGAAAATTTTATCAATTTTTATATGGTAGACACTTTATTTTACTTAGTGATAATAAACCGTTGGTTAGTATTTTTGGGCCCAAAAATGGTGTTCCAGTAATGGCGACAAATCGGCTACAGAGATACACTTATTTTTTAAGCGGTTTTGATTTTACGATTAAATTTGTTAATACATCCGAGAATATAGCTGACTTTTTGTCGCGTTTACCGATTGAAAACAGAGAGAGAGGGTCGACTTTCGATTTTGAAGATGATCTTCAAGAATTCGAGGGTTCTCACATTAACTTGAGTTATTTATCGAGTTCTACAATACTACCAATTGATATCAGTGCAATGCAACGTGAAACACGTGCTGATCCTTTACTGAGCAAAATTTTAGAGTACGTAAAAAAAGGTTGGCCAGTGAATTCTAATGAGACAATAAAACCATATTTCAGATGTAAATATGAAATTAATTTAGATAAGAATGTGTTACGTTGGGGTCACAGGGTCATTGTCCCTGCCTCTTTACGTGATATCATTTTGGGTGAATTACACAACAGTCATCTAGGAATTGTTAAAATGAAATCACATGCGAGATCATATGTCTGGTGGCCCACTTTGAATCAAGAAGTGGAGGACGTGGTAAAAAAAAATGTTTTGAATGTCAGAAATTGCGCGCTACTCCGGAAAAAACACCTTTGAAACCATGGCCAATTCCCAGCGTGGTATGGCAACGCATTCACATAGATTTTATTGGTCCATTGAAACAAAAAATGTTTTTAGTAGTAACTGACGCGTTTTCGAAGTGGCTGGAAGTGTTTTCCATGAATTCAATTACTACAGCAGCCACAATTGAAAAGTTAAGGGAATTGTTTAGTCGATTTGGTTTACCTTCTATGTTAGTCCCCGATAATGGCTGAAAAATATCAATTTATCACTATGTAAATTTCTGTTAACTCATCGAAACACTCCCCACTGTTCATCTGGTGAAACACCAGCAAAAGTATTTATGGGAAGACCTTTGAGAACTCGTTTGGATCTTATCATGCCAAAACAACAAAGCAAGCCAATCGTTAAGAGCAAAATAGAGGTCAAAAACAATGTGATGAAAGCACAAGAATCTAACAAACGATTTTTCAGGGGGAAGCGTAATGATAATTTTAGAATTGGACAAATTGTCTATGCTAGGGATTACAGAGGCCCTAAACCTTCTTGGTGCAAGGCCGTAATTGAAAGATTTTAGGTAAAAACGTTTATCTGGTGACAGAATACAAATCGCGTGTTGTTTGGAAAAGACATTTCAATCAAATAAGATACTGTGGTGATGATGACTTCACGTTAAATGATGATTATTTTTCTAATGAAAGTGTAGAAAATACCGATTCTGACTTACATAGCACCGTGCATATAACCGAGGACTTTGACGTGGAAACGGGTAACGATTCAAATAAAATAAATGTTCAATCGGATAATATCCAAAATCAAAAAAATTCTCTAGTGAATCGTCCCAAAAGAATCAGAAATGCACCAGATAGATTTAAGTATTAGCTATAAAATAAGAGGGGGAGTGTGTAATGTTTTAAAATAATTTATCTGTCTACGCCTATGTTTAATTTATGTCTTTTTTGTATTCAATGAAGAATGTATTTTTATGTTTCATTTTGCAACTGGAGATATTCATTCTATGAATGTTTTCGGCATTGTAAAGTGATGGTGTGATATAAGGGTGTAATGACAACCTGTGTTTCATTGCCCCTTCCGAATATTACAAATTCCATCACATGTTATGAGAGATTCGTTTCGAAAACACATATTTCCAAATATTTGTATGCTACAACACTCCATCTGTACTTACGTTCGGTAGAGCTCCTGAAAGCACTTCATCCTAAATTATGGCCCACTTACCAACAGCCATCATTTTTGATAGCCTTATAGGCAACAATCCCAATCAGTAGATTGAGACTTTGGTATCGATATCATAACCATATACCCAAGATTCGTCACCAGTTACGACCCTGTCAAACAAATCTAGATCGCCTTTTTTTGACATAATTCAGCAATTTTGCAACGAACTTTGCTGCCACACACTTCATTGATGTGTGCACAGAGCACTCAAAACCATTTTTTACACAAAATGGGTTAAAATCCTTTGATCAATATTTTTTGTTAGCATAATATCGCCGAACACTTCTAACTCTTTTGCCTCTGAATAACAAACTATAAACATGACAAACAGCTCAAACTGTATATTTTCGAGACGAATGTGCCAACATGAAAAAAATGTAAAAAAACTGTCAATCCAATGTAACCCAAGAAATTTGAACATAATTATTTTTTTATTTTTCAAACATGTCTGACACATCATGCTCATCATGATGTGTCAGGGGTATCCAATTAATTATTCAATAAGAGATTAATTGAAACAGTTGAATTTGTGAAATAAGTTGAATTGAGGATATTTCAAAATAACACGACCGGAAAAGTTATCAGGTTCAGTTACCCTGTTAACAAAGTTAACAAACACAATCATGACTTCGAATCACATTCAAAAATATCTTTGAGCCTAGCAGAGTACAACACATAAAATTCTCACCTTATTGGAAAATCGGATCAACACCATTAAAACGTAACTTCGAACTAAAGAGATTTCCTTGTTTTGCCATTGAATCTTCTTATCTGAATCTATAAGTATGTTCAAGATCTTATTTGCCTCCAACGTCATATCATGTTAATATCAACTGAAACAAGAAAATATCGTAGTCTCTTAAATCCGAGGATTTTCCTAATGATTATGTAATTATTTAACAGTAGGATTAGGATTTTGTTGTTAATTTCATTTGGTAAAATTCAAGAGTTCCCTCGTGGAGAAAGACGTAGTTTATTTATAGTGGGAGACAATAATAATTCAGACAGGCGAGTTTCCAAAACTGTTGATTTTAGGATTCTCTGCAGATATTCGTGTATTAGAAACTTGAAAAAGCGCATTGCTCTAAGGCAATATCTGAAGAGAGTTAATAATTTTTTTTTATTTTCCTTTGTAGTGACGTCTTTGAATAATAATAAATGTTGGGTGTAGACATTTTTTTATGTGTAGCAGTCTTTTCAGTCGTATCAGTAGGGCTTGACATTTTGGAAATTTTAAACTTTAAAATACCGTACCACAGGCGTAACTGACCACTTCGACACTGTTAAATGAATTCCGCCAGTTGATTGCAGTTAAATCTGATTGACCAGAGTACGGAGACCTGTTTATTTTACCCAATAGATGCAAATGCGCGTGGTGATCATGCTTTGATGACGCATCTGTCATTGTTTGGGTTGCTTTTTTCATTGGATGGATATAGTTTAGTACTGCTTAGTGCAGTTACTCCAATGTTTTCAAAAAGTAGTTTATCAAGCCTAAATTGAGACATAATATTCGTCATTTCATTTGCTTTTAGGGAATATTACAATTTATATTGAAATTTCCGGCAACCCAGATACTCAAGTCGATAGTAAAGAAAATAGTATTAGAAATTTTCTCCGGCCTAGAAATGAATAGCTGAAGATCCTATCATTCAATTCGAACTTTAGAAGGTGGTTCTTATTTCCTATGCTGCAGACATTCATGAAAAATAAAAGTCAATTGGTCATTTTGATGAAGAATAACTTTTGTCGTATTTTGTTATTTGAATGTTCATTGGCACCTAGTTGTGTTTCTCTACATATTTCGGTTATGTTGTTTTTTGTATTTATAAAAAACTTTCACTTGATTATGTAAAAAGTGTTGGCTACTTTATTTTATTTCACTTGATCAAAACTTTGGATCATAGATTTGGTCTTCTAGATGAAAGTCTACTTCTTATATTTTTTGTTGTCGACTTCAACAGATATATTCTCTGTTTTTGTATATTTGTTCATATGTTCCTCTGTAACTTGATCATGTGATACAAATATCCGTATTTTTTTTTCTTTATTTTCTGTTCCGTAAAATTCTTCATTACAACCCCACTTCTTATGTTATATCTGCTTTTCCTTCTTGACACTGTTTTGTATTTTTGACTTTGACTTCTGGAATGACCTGATTATGGGTTGGATTAGGTTAGGTCCAAAGTGAGTGGGTCTATTGGACCCTCCACCGCAACCCGCAAGAGTTTATTGTGGCTCACACATATTCACACTCGACCAAATAAACCCAGCTTCTCAACGAAGCCAATAAGTTCGTATGATGAGTGGTCTTTCAGGTCGGATGGTAAGAGTACGGCTCTGCCGAACTCTAAAAACCCGATTCGGTCCCCAGCGGGGCAGGCACAAAGTATATGCTCTGCTGTTTCATCGTTAATGAGATAGTCGGATAGTCAAAGTGTAAGATTCCCACCTTGATACCCGCGACAACCTTCCCATATGAGGGTTTTTGCACATCAGATACACCTGACGATGCCCTAGAGTCAACCGTGCAGGACTTTTTCGCCTCTGCTTTTGGGACTTCGTCTGTTTGTTTTCACTGCCTTTTCCTGATTCATTAACCGAATACTCTTGAAAATTTACAATTCCCCGAACTGGTCTCTTTTTGTTAGTATTGCCTTTTTCTTCTATTTCATTAACGTTTTTTATTTGTCCAAATGTGTTGTTTCCTATGAAATATCAGTTTATTTTCTAAAGAGGCCATTTCATTAATTAGTAACAGAATTATAGATTCCCTATAACTTAAGATTGTTCCATTATAGCTGAAAATTTTTTAAAGGAGGCTATTATCTTCCTTCAGGAGTGATTCCTATTTTATGGCTGGTGTATTATTCTGGTTACTCTGATTATATGCTTTGTGTCTACATTCTGCCTTTTTCAAATCACTGGCTTGTTTTGAACATACTGGATGATAAATTTGTCCACATTTTAGGCAGCAGGGGGTTATACATTAAAGACGCAATAATTTCTCTCTACTTCTCGTTCGACATAGATTTACTACCAGCTCCTCTAGCTCCACTTCCAGTTGGTTGAAATTTGATGTGGTGTGTGCATATGTGATTATGAGTTCCACTTTTTTTTGATATTTCATTACGATACACAGTCTCAACTACATAACGAAAACNATGATATTTCATTACGATACACAGTCTCAACTACATAACGAAAACAATTTTGTAATACGTACTGATTTCCTGGAAAAGTGCAAAAATTTTAATTTTCAGATGACTTATACCAACAGTTTTGAAAAACACCTTTTCGATTATGATAACTGTTGTTTCATTTTCATCATATAGAGCTTCATTATACAGACTGACGTTTGCTCACCTGAGCTTAAAAGAAAAGTTATCAAGATTTTAAAAAACCATAGCAAATTATCAACGTTTTTTCTTCAAATTGAACATACTCTCCATTCTTCCAAACTTGGCGACACTTTTTCAAACTCCTCGTTATACTAAACTGATGTCCTTCAAGAGTAAAGTCCGTATCACTCAACAGTATTCATCTTTATTGAAATGAAACTCAACACTTACTAATGCAAAAGTGAAAAGCAATCATTTTTTTCATGGAGAGAAGGAGATTTCTAGTAAATCAAAATAAAAATGATTTTATTGAAGCAGACATTTTATCGGGAATATCTTTTCTGTGAATCCACAAGTGGAAACCTCTTTTTCATGTTATTCATAGAAAATCAACTTCATTAACTAAGCCATCAACTATCTTTCCGATAATTTTAAAATTCTTAGTATGCCCAAAATAATAATAAAAAATTATTTATTCTATTCTGTGAAAGAATACGTGAATCATTTCAAATGTTTATAATGTCAACATACTCAATTTTGTTTTTATACTTTGGTATGTGTGTTTCTTGTTTGTTTTTATACTATTTTAATTGGGTGCTGGTTAGTTATTAGAGCACTTCGTCTAGCTTGATCTTTTTGATGACCTTGATATTGATTCCTTTATAAAGCTTGTAGCCTTTGGTTTTTCATTCCCCCATCTCCCATGTTTTAGCCCTGGTAACACTTTGCATTCACAGAGCACATTCAGAGCGGTTTCTTCCACCACCTGGTAAAATTTTCATTGATCTAGTAACATATGATACTCTACTACATATGATACTCTACTAACGTATTATACTCACATGTTAGTAGATCTACCACTACCCTTACAACCATACGGTCGTAGTTTAGTAGGTCTTCTTTGAATTGAGGATGTGATTTCTTTATGAACATTTTTACCTGCCTCATTTCTGGGAGCTTGTACAACTAGTTTCGCAATTTTCTAGACTCATCATGGCCAAGGATACTGCTTCGAGGACTTATACATCGGACTCCTCGTTAACCTGGTAGCCTTCATGTATACCAAGGGTGATTCTATTGTGGAAATCTAGCTCAATGAGTGCGCTGTAAGGTCAGTCCTTACGAGTCGCGAAGAGGCTTGGTAGAAACTGACCACCCCAATTGTTGCCTGGTTACCAGAAAATGGAAATGGTTTCATTTCCAACCATATGCCTGAGCAGTTCTCTCACGCAGTGTTCGATAGCGGCAACTTCTTATTGATAAGTTCTGTCCAAGGCTGAGTGCCATTTTTGTCTTCCATTTTAGGTTTTATGATCTCTTCAGCTCCTGGAAACTTTCATGAAATTGTGAAATTAATTATTGCTTACGAAATGGACTTCAGAACATTATATCCTGATAACCGGTCTGTAGGTGATCTATTCGATTAATTTCAGCATTGTCCTGGTTCTGGACGAAAGAGAAACATCTGCAAGATTAACCTCTGTGAGGTATCAATTTCCAACGTGGTATCAGCCGAAGAGGTAGTTGTTTACTGGCAGGTTTTTACCAAAACCAACTCGTAGGTTAGTTGAGAGAGATGAATATTTCGATACTTCATTTCGAAATATTCAATTTTTTATACGTATGTATCTTTCCTCGATACAGTCTTTAGACTTAGGGCTTTCTTCACAAGATGGAGCTGTTACAGTCTATCTCTTAGTCGAATGTTTCCTACATGCAGTCGAATCGCGTTGAAATTGATCAAAATATTCATTTTCTCAATATCCTTATACAGCAGGGTTTCTATAACTGATCGGAAGTTGGTGGGATATTGTGATTTATACTAGTTCTAAAAAGGTGGCTATGGAAAGGAGTGAATTTTCAAAAATCACTTTCTGATATTGATGCTGAAAACTTGGATTACTCAATTCCCATCTAAGAAAATATCAGATCCAAAATCATTCAATCTCAAAGAACAATACTTTCGTTTTTTTTCCTAACAGAAAACTGTTCCGTATCATAGACTTCAAACTGAATTATAAACTCGAAGACTATTAACTCTTCACCAACAAATTGCATGACCTTCCAACAAAGATTCTCAAATCAATTAGAGTTAAACCCTATTCGGTGAGTTGTTAGCAAGTATAACCAAATGATAGAGTTTCGGAAGTTTTCACGAGATAACTTTCCACTTGATTATAACAACTCCGTTCATCCCATGTTTCTCTCAATAACCATTTTGAAATTTGAAGGATGTTCACAGGCTTGTAGAGCTATTCAAAGGAAATATTATACCTTCATCATAATCGGAGGATCTTTTTCAGCAGAAAACTTTCATAATAGCTATCTTATGAAAGGATTGAATACTTATTCTTCATTTCTTTGAGTTCAGAAAGTAAAAAATCCCCTGAAAGAAACTTGCACGGGTAATCGAATGAAGTATTTTGTATCTTATAGGATGGATGAAAAATCAGAAAATAA